GCTTGAACATAAATAAAGCTTTTTTTGAATTCCACTAAATCAAAAGGTTTTAATCACTTTGACTCAATAAATGATGAGTTGGTGTGACCTCTATATCCTAGTTTGTGAACAATTCTTACAGCTCTTTTTTGAAGTATGAACAGTGGTGGAAGCGAACTTCAAATGTGTTTCCCCAACTCTCAACAATAATCTCAATATGGTAAAATCAAATGTTTATACTTGCAAGTATAGAGATATTTGTTTTTAAATTTGGGGGGGATAAATCGTTATACTCTCTCTATGATAACTCCTTAAATCCTCATTTGTAAGTTCTTTTCTAGATTACCAAATACCATTGTCTTTATTTTCTCCATATTTAACTATCATTTATTTCTATCACACTATTTCTTAACGTTTCTTGACTGATCATGTCAAAACATTTCTGTAAATTCTCATCAGAAGCCCAAAAGTTGAATAATCTGCAAATAATACAAAATTCAATAACTTCAATAAGACAGTTACCAGGTCAAAAGGTTTACTTCAATATGTGATAAAAACATTTTTTCGTACTGGTTCACATTTTACTATGGTTTACATACATTTGTGTCGACTGATTTATTTAATTCCACAGTGAGGTCAATAAGTACTGTGATTTTGCAAGTTCCCCTACATAAAAATCATGCAGGGGTCCAGAGTATTCAGTTCATTTCCACTTTGAGAGATTTAAACAATTTAGTTGTAAACAAACTAATCTTGATAATCTTATCAGCAAGATTTCTGACCCTCAAAAATCTGATATTTTCCTTTTAAATAGTCCAGCTACACTCTGCTAATGAGTGTATTATAGTAGCACCAGTTTGGGTTGGTTAGTTGTCATAAAGACACCTGTGCACCCCACAGTCAATCAAAAGTCTACCTAGCAACATGGGCTAAAATTAAGGGGCTGTCAAAAAACTAAATTGTAGACCTTCCTAAAGCTGCAATTGGCAGGCAGCTTGATGAAACAAGAACAACTATTGGGGAAACAATCAGAAAGTGGTGTCAGGCTGCCAATGTTTCTCAAACTGGGGCCCCATGGAAGGTCTCACCTTGTGGGGTATCAGGGATGCTAAGAAGCCTGAAGAGAACTGGGGCCACCATTGCCAATCCGCTTGTTAAGTTGTGACGTTGGGGAGTGCCTCCAGATCCTGGCTCTCAACTCTCTCATTGACAGACATTGGTAAAAGGTAAAAAAACTTTGATCATTATTATACCAAAAACATGTTAAATCAGTTTTACATAAATCAAAACATTATGTTACAAATAATGTGCCATAATAAAGCGTTGGGTCTTTCAACATGATGAAGCAAAGCTCATAACCAGGAAAACAATGGCTTTCTACAAAAAACTTGCAAAATCACACGGTGATCAAATACTTGTTGACCTCAAACATTTAATTTGTTCGTATTAGTTGTAGTTTTTTATCTTCCTTATCTATGTATTTTAGCAACTGGTCCTGATCCGTGTGTTTTAGCACAGAACCCTCGTTACAGGAAAGGACCGGATGTCTGCTTCGACAACAATGCTGATGTAAGCTACAAGCAGATTGTTCAGTAACATCTTCACATGTATCTTTCACTTTTTCTCTTTCTACTTTCTTTAAAGCTAACATTTATTTCCTTTCTGTTTGCACGTCAAATGGTCTGCTCGTTATGCTCATCACTGGAATAGGAAGAGCCACTTTGTCCAACTAGTAGCTCTTCTTCGAACCATTTCCTTCCCGTCATTTTGCTGCTGTTTCTGCTTTGTGTTTGATGGTCAGTTTCATCTTCACATTTTGACGAATATGTCAACTTCTATGCTCAATCTTTTCCCATCTATCTGTCCGTCTGTTGAACTTTTAGTTTATTGTTAGCTTTGACATTCATTCACTATTATGGAATTGACTAGCTAGCAGTGATTATAATAGAAATTGGTTTAAGCACTTGTTGACTTGTTGCTTTTATCACTGTGGAAATATGATATCGTTTTAATAAAAATCGCGAGAAGGTTGCCATGAAAAAAATTGTCATGTAAATACGATAGCAAGCTGCTAATTATCGAGTCAAGCTAGCAATCTTAGTTGTTTTCACCATTATATAAACTTGGTAAAGTAGTTATTGAATTGAGAACAATTTTAAACCATTACATACAATTACAATAACAATGTTTGCTTTGCAGTGTTAGTAACAAAAATGTGTTGGCGATATGCTAATAGTCATGTCAAGCTGGCATCATTAGCGGTTTAAATCATGATATGAACTTGAAAAGACAGTTACCGTACATAATTTATTATCAATGTGAGCATTATTACGCAATAATATAAATGTGCTAGCGACATGCTAATAGTCAAGTCAAGCTGGCAATATTAGTTGTTTTTTTTATTAGTACATATACTTGGTAAACAGTTATATAATTTATAAGTAATGTGAGCATCATTAAGCAATACTATAATTATGCTACCGACATGCTAATAGTCAAGTCAAACTGGCATCATCAACGGTTTAAATCATGATATAAACTTTATAAACAGTTATATAATTTATAACCAATGCTAGCATTGTTAAGTAATTTTATTAATATGTTAGCAAAATGCTAATTGTCAAGTCAAGCAATGTTAGTTGTTTTTTTATCATTATATAAACTTGGCAAACAGATATATAATTTATAATCAATGCGAGCATTATTAAGCAATAATATAAATATGTTATACAATATTCAGATTGTTTTGACCTTTTTTGTCTCAGAACTTTAGATTTTTGTTATATAACATAAAACTGTTGCATTTTTGCATTAAATACTCTGTATTGTACTTTTGGACAATTTCAGGGATGTTTTTTATTTATTATGTAATGTGATTAAATAGTATTTGTAAAAAAAAAAAAAAAAAAAAAAAAAAAACTAAAAAATTATATAAAGCATTGCCACAAAAAGGTAATTTATTAGAGCTAAGTGTAGAGCGGTACAAAATGCTCAAAAACGCCCTAGGTTAAAAGATGGTTTCATAATTTAAAAACTTTACATTTTACATTTTTCGAGAATACATTTCTTGGTATATTTGGTTTGCCATCTTACCACTGGTGTTCGTCTGGATGTCCCTTGGAATAGAGGGCCCCAGACCCCTTTGTCTTACCCTTCCACCTTCGTTCAAAAAAGCATTGGGACACCCTAACACTTCTTGTAAATGCATCAAATGCAGGGGTGGGTCTAAGAATTACAAATGGAAATTGTGGACATTTTTAATGTGTCAGAATATATTAGTTCAAATAAGTTTTGAATGAACTTAGTTAGCAGTATGCCTGAAAGTCAGGCAATAATCTCAGATATCTGAATCCAGCTTCAAAATTAGAAACTTGAAACGTGTACTGCACCAGAAGTGGATTAAATACCCCGTTTTGTTTATCTGCAGCTTCTGTGTAGAGCCAAAGACAGGATGCCACTGCTTTCCTCCTGCTGTGAATGTAGGAAGTCAATTTTAAACTTGTTTCTTGAGAGATTTTCTCTGGAATAAACATAGGAAGCTCTGGATGCCTTCCTATCCTTTTGACACCAGATTTGATGATACGCCCCTGTACAAACCTGTCCTTTCAGGCTGAATTGAGTTTTAAAGACCTGGCTCAAGTAAGAGCCAATGATAGCGCGAGATATAAGTGACTGACATAGATATGTATGTGTTGAATGCAGGAGGATGAGAGTGATTGTGGGAGTGGCTGCAGTTTGCGTCCTTCCCTCTGGACGACGCTTGGCCTACAGATACTTCTACTCTGGCTGCTCACAGGAACCAGAAATTCATTTTCCTGACCACAGTTGATGTGCTGCCTACTGCCTGAACTGCTTATTATCTTAACCACAAGGCCAAAACATAACTACACTCTAAGACTGTCTTCTAGTCTCTCACAAATCACGTACACACAACAAATGCATACCTCTGATCATCTCACTCCAACAGCAACACAGTCAGACACGAGAGCTCATTTTTATAACCTCATTGCCACGGTATGAGACAGAAATGATTTGTATAACATGTTTAGTGCCACAAAAAGGCTAATGTCATTTTTCAGCAGTGTGGTTGAAGACGCGTGGCAGCAGCAGTCTGGATCTGAAGCAGGGTTTAAACTGTATATGCAGAGGAACGACTGTTCTATCAGAATTCAGCTGGAAATAAGCTTTGCACCAAGAGTGGGTCAGTGATGTCACACCTGAGCCCTTTAGGCCCATCGAGGGCCATTTTTCTTCTTTTATGTTCCTTGATATCTGCAATGTGTGCATTAGGGAGTAGCTTATGGAAATTACATATGCAGATCACATACGATGCCAAAATTATGAACTACAAATATTGGGGTTGGACAGTGAAACTGAAACACTTTTTACATTGAAAAACTTATTATATGGGTTTACATTTGAGCCATTCATTTCTACAAATATTTTTATCTCTTGAAAGTGGTTCAGCCATGGGGTATAATCCCACTTTTATCACCTATTCACATCACCAATTTTGTCCAGTAATGTTCTGAGAATAGTAACAAGCCTTGTTTGCCTATACTTTTAACACAAATTTAAAATTATTTACCTAGTATATCTGATCAGTAATCAGTAATGAACTGGCCAAAGAGTATTCACCCCTGTTAGAAAAAAATGTACAATCCCCAAAACTCAGACAGCTGCCACTTTACAATCAGCTTTGAATGTTAACCCCATTTTATGGCAATTATTAGTAATATTTTATCACGCAATTATTAGTAATATTTATTAGTCATTTTTTATCATTTATTCATATGGTTCAGTAGGTAACTTCTCCACCTACTGGTAGCCTTGAGTAGGTGCAATCCTCTTATTTCGTGCGGCTGCCATTTTAAGGATGCAAGAGACGTTCACGTGGCAAGAAACTGAGAAATAGTATGTTGTGTAAGTTCCTGCTCACATTTACATTTACGCATTTTGCAGACACTTTTATCCAAAGCGACATACATTTGAAAGAGTGAACACATTTTTTTGTCAGTTATTGCTTTCCCCGGGAATTGAACCCATTACCTTTGCATTGTACCTGTGCAATGCTCTACCAACTGAGCCACAGGAAAGCGTCAACGTATATACATAAATCAGAGTCATTATAAGTAATATATTTAAGATACATTTTTATAATTGTTATAGACTTCAATATAGCAGCCTGTGAGATTCAATGTTTATTTTCAGGGTAATTTTCAACATAAATGATCCCAGGGAAAGCAAGAACTGACAGAAAAAATATGTTCATTCAAATGTAAGTCGCTTTGGATAAAAGCGTCTGCCAAATGCATAAATGTAAATGTAAATGTAGTTCCAGGTTTGTTTACCACTCTTTCATCTTTAAAATGGCGGCCATGTGAAATAAGTGAAAAAGCCCTTTTATCCATCCACGTGCTCCATATAGACAAACTATTCCTCACATTTAAATTAATAATCAACATATAATGAAGGAAAGGGCTATTCCCGAAAAAAAAAAAAAAAAAAAAAAAAAAAAATATATATATATATTATATATGAAACTCACCATTATAAATTGAACCAACTTCACACACTGAATCATACTGACGGGCCAAAAATGTGGTCAAGGTCTTATGTCCAAGGTCCATGTTCAATATTTGACACCATTCTTTCCTTTAGACCCAGGTTTATTGTGAGTACACTTCTGAATGGGGTTCTGTAAAAGCTAAGTTGTCATTGGAAACGATTGTTGCCAGATATAAGTAGTTTGCTCCAGTGTCTAATGTTGACAGTCATTAAATGTGATTGTTTTTATACCGGTCATACGTGTACTCTATATTGCCTAAAGTATTCACTCAATAGCTTTTGTCAATATTCAAAATTCATCCTACTTTTACTTCACTCTTTTAACTAAAATAATCTCCAAATAGCAAACACGGAACACAAGACACAAAAATAAGATGTGAACACATCCCCTAGATAGTGCCCAAAGTAACATTGTACACTTCAGATAGCCTATCTAGCAAACATCTTGTCTACAAAAATATGTTAAAATGTTACAATTTTGTTATGCGTAAATCAGAAACTTCTAATTGTACAACTAGTAAGTGGCAGGGATTTTAACATAAGCACATGCTCATTCGCAAATTCACATGGTAATCAATTTTCCATATTAATTGAAGCCATTTTACTGCTTGTTTTGCCTGTCAGTCTCAAGAGTGACTCCAATGCATACTGTCTATTGTTGCTTGATCATTTTCATAGTGTTTTTTGTGCACTGGTGTACAGACGGAACAGCAAGTAAAAGCCAAATCCAGCTCGTGAAAAATAACCCCACACCATAGTTTCATGTCAGTCTGAAAGACTCTTTTCTTTTTACAACCACTCTCATCGAGATCAAAGTGTCAGTTGGAGAGTGCTGCATTGTCATGCTTAATCAATATTTGCGCCGCATTTGAATGCATGGCATGCTATCCGTGCAACACATTGATATTAAGCTAGTTTAAAGGACTGTGAAAATTTTGTAGTGAGAAAATGTTATGATTGGACTTGTTGCACCCATGGCTTCCTATTACAGTATCACACTAGATTTCACTGAAGTTCACTAGCTCTTTCAAAACTGCAGTCTGGGTGTCTAGGTGCTTGACTTTAAATAACTGTAGCCATTTTTTTTACTTTCAATCTTTTTGGCAATATAATGTTTCTTACAAAATTATACTGGCCCCCAAAAGCGATTCATCATTTATCTCTTGTGGCTCTCACTAATCCTTTGACCAAAGCTCACAAATCAAGGGAAGATCAAACATCTGCCTGTTTGACCACAGCAACATTGGCTATGTCCCAACATTCATTATATGTTGTCATGGAATTTATGCAGTAATATTTTGTCATTAAACGTGCTATGCTGTACATATAGATTTTTTGGATGCATCATACTGAATGATGTGAACAGGCTCGTCTTAGCCATTACTTCTTGTGTCAGAAGTCACACGCTCTCATTGAAGAGTTTGAAACATGTCAAAATAGTTTTTATACCCTCTCCATTCCATTTTCAGGGCCTCTACTATCAGATGCTTGGCTGTTTTACTACATCGTCCACATATTTCATCTGTCAGATTGGGTTCCAGCTCCACAGACATGATGGCACAAGCCTGTCAGATATTGTTTCCACATGTAACAGAGCTGTGCGTAAACACAGCAGATGATGGGTTATAAAAATTGACAAATGCGCTTTTTAATAACTTTGAAAAGAATCCATGTTACAGTAATTGTATTATCTACGTGTTTCTGATGAGAAATCCATGCATGGGATTCAGTGAGATCAGTCAGAGCTATTTTCAGCAGGAAAACATTACAGAGTTGTCATTTAAATGTTCGGGAAGAAGAACAAAACCAGTCTGGAGCTATGAAAATGAAATAGCTGCCCTTCTCAATCCAAGAATATAAGAAGCATTCTTATTATTATACGTCCACATTCTTTTACATACAATTGCCTAGAAAATCTATTTTAAAAATACTAAATCTACAATCAATGTTTGCATGACTTTAATGACTTTTTATTCATGCGAAAAGAAACTGTGAAGTTTTATAGATTTTATAGCCTTTTGATGAAGAGGTTGTTAAAGTGATGTGCTGCATTAAAATCAGAAGGATAAATGTTGTGGTATTTGCCAAATGGGAATGAAATGTAATAAAACGCACGAGATAGATCTAAAATAATTTGTTTATTGTCCTGGGTGTTGACGAATTATCATGTGTACCTCTGCGTTTACATCTGACTTTTAACTTAGGAATGAAACAAATATTTCTTTCTATTTTCACTGATGTAGCATTGAGTTACAGAGCTAAATGTGCAGTGCATGTATGAATCTTTACAGATGTTTTGGACTCCTTTAAGGGTCTGTATTTTTAATCCTATCCCGTTGGATGTAATGTTTAAATACCTCACTAAACGATGAAGTAAGATGGGATTGGATCCAAGAGAGCTGAACTAACTCAAATAGAAGCAAATATTATTCCAGTAACCCATGTCACAATAACACAGATTCATTATTTGCTGCTCAGGTTAAATTGAAAACTTTCATATGGCAGTGCCCCAAATTCTCCAAAAGTAGAAAATGGATGGGGACATAATTGGTTTGCTGCCATGCAATCACCCATCATAGAGTGCAACAAATTATTTTTTTTACTTTTGAAAAAATAGTGTCCGTGCATATTAAGGGTAAGGGAGTTGGGAGTGACTGAAGATAGAAGGGAGCTACTGTACAATCTACTGTCAAATGTTCTGAGAATGGTCATCAAAATGCTAATTGCCATGCAAAGCTGGATTCTTAAAACTGTCAAAAAGTCGAGTGATCACTTTCATTCTACAGACAATATCAAATGAGATGACTTGTGTTGGGGACCAAAGCACCAAAAGTTAAGAATTTTTCAATCTCTTACAAAGGTGTACATCCTATAGGTCCAAAAAGTGACGTCGTATAGAAGATTGTTTTGAAGTCTGCACCCCATTGGTCTCTATACACGCTTCATTGTAGAGAGAAGAATTTCACAAATTCTCTTACTTAGACCAGCATAAAAGGTTTTGCGGCAAACAATTTTGTTTTATTTGGCAAACATTGGTGGAAGAGTACTAGGTGAGCTGGATCCGAATTCCCCTTTGTGAGGTGTAGGTTTGTAAAGAAGGGTCTGCTTGGAACAAATGTCGATTAAGCTCTGGATTAGAATGGCTCGGATATATAACAGGGTCATATAAACAACATTTCACAAATCGTTGAACCAACTTAAGGCCTCTACCTACAGATCCCAATTGAGATTCTTTGTGCTCTTCATCTTGGTCGAGCTAAAATTGAAGATGAACCTGAAGCCAATGAAGATGGCGTTTATTGTACAACTGGTACAGCCTGAATAAGACAACAACAGAGAAGAAATTAAAGAATACATCGAAAAAAATCAAGGACGTCGAGCAGTTTATACTGTTGGTGGCTTATCACAGGGAGCTGTTTGAGAGAAATGTGGAGACGATTTGTAGCACAACTTTTCTTTCCTGTTCCCTGTTCCGAATTGCTATGAAAATGGTATGAGCGCCACCGAGTGGCTCTGTTATGTCCATCTCACATCATCAAAAGGGCCAGCTTTCATTGGTCATTATCCTCATGATATCCTCATTCTTAGCTAGACCAGCTTATTAACACAAGTGTATTTGGTGAGTATTGGGGGAAGCATATTAAGCTCCTCCCAAAACTCATTATAAAATTCTCTTTTTCTAAATTTGAATTTCACTAATTTGAATTGTTCGATCAGCTTAGAATTATAAGAGAGTACAAGAACAATAGTGTAATCTGGAATCAAAAAGGTCTTGACAGCGACCAGATAATAGTACGTCCCAAACACTCTCAATCTAGCACATAAAAAAAACTAAGTCCAAGACGAGAGTTATTGTCTTTTAGAGGAAACACACAGCTGAGGAAGACTGTGGGGTGCTGGGGTGAATCAGGTTTTAAGATGTTCCATGGTATGAGAAGGATAAGAAGCCTGCACAATCCTGTAAGGCAGATCTATTGGTTCAGTTAAATTAAGGCACTCTTCTGGCAGAAGGAGACTACAGGGATAAAGGAGCCATACAGCAAGACTAGTGATCCATGCTTGCCTGGAGCCTCACAGGGTTGATATGGCTAGCAAAGCATGATTCGAATAAGATCACTCCACAGCTTGAAGAAGAAGACTATAGTTCTGAAGACTATTCTTTTCACTAAGCATTTTTTTCACCACAACAAACTGGTACAGCAGCCGATACACAGATCCATTTCAAATGCCATCCTTCCTTCACCCATGAACAAACCCCCAAGATACCCGAACACCTTTACTTGAGGAAGGAACTCCACTGCAAGTACCTTGGTTTGATGAAAACTACAGAGTTTCATCTGCAGAGTACAGAAACTCCAGCCCCTAACTCTGACTGAGTTCTATCCATACAAACTGATCACAGAGAACATACCAAATATGCACTATGATCAGATGAAACATACCACTAGTAATGCAAACCAAGCTTCAGGTTGTATAGTGACAGAAATGCCCATAACAAAGTGTCCTGTGCTCATTTTCTCAAACTGCCAT